TGTAACCGTAACAGTGCTGGTAACAGCATTGTACATGCACTAACAGTTTACATGCAACTTTCCAATTTTGTCCAGCGTTGACCGTTAGATGAATTTCAAAATTTACAGAAAATGAAAACACACCTGACTCTCTGGATAAAAATAATCATTTTAACCAGTAACCCAGATGTACTAGAACTTTAGTTTGCGCATGAAGGTCAAAGAGTTTCACACAAGACAAACATTTTAGCAAGAACTGAGTTATTTAACTCACTTTTGTTCTTCTTGAAACACTAAGGCCATGTGTGACAGATTTCTGGAGTTATGGCTTCATCTGTTAGCAGTGCGTCCCCTCGTATCGAAGACCTGGACGTACATGTACAGGTACCTCCGGCCAACAATCCAGTTGCGGCCTGAGCACCCTATCCATACCAGAGTTAAATGGTTTCCCATTTCCTCCCCACCTTCAGCTCATCTCCCAACCTCAACCTCCCAACCCTTCCGCACAGTCCAAAAAATGGTTTCAGCACACCAAGTATTTCTCAAAGGTTTTTATACATGTACATGTGTATCTCAAATTGAATTTAACGACACTTGGGCTCTGTCATCATGGGCAAGCTTCGTTACTTTTTGCTGGAACTGATGGCTGGTTCTGTAGCAACAGCTGATCAAACCTCTCTGAGTAATAGCTGGTCACAACTGTAACTACTCATTTGTCAATCAAAGCCCAATGATTTTAATTTATTATCTTGACGTGGATCCCTTTGAACGGTGTACATGTATAAACGGATTTATACCCTTGAAAAGAGCTGGAACGGGGGCACAAATGAACACGACCAAAGATTTCTTTCCGAGGAGCTGTTACTTTCTAATCCCTGAACGAGGATGGAGGGGAAGGGGGACAGGTGCATTATCAGACCCCTTGACTCTCATGCGCAGTTGGTGATCCATGTGCGAAAAGCTAGTTTCTGACAGGCATCGAGTGAGGGGCTGTCGGCACACATACGACACGTGATGAATACACTGCGTGAGCTGGGTGGTTGGTGCATGCGCAACGGCAGATGACACCTCCCCCCGTAATTCTGTCAGCTTACAATCCCTTCTCCAGCCTCATCTCCTCTCTCTGGCACCGAGGTCTAATTTGCTGCAAATTAGGTGTTGGATGCATAAAAATTGAGCTTACTCTCAGTAAGAGAGTTGGAAACCGTGCTCGCAGACATCCTCTGTATAATGAATTCCAGTTTAATTTGAATTTAATATTCTTTCATGAAGAACGTGCGCAACAGCTTCACAGAACTACACATGACTGGACCAAGACTGAGATTTCAGGGATACCAGACTGAGATTTCAGTCTTGTTCCAGGCACTGGTCACATCACTGAGGCACACAGCCGACTGATCATAGGCAAGATCCAAGAGGAGAGTCAGGTTGGTGTAGAGAGGCTCTTTCCTCGCTTTCTACATGGACCTCTGCGACCCGGGTTTCGAATCCCACCTAGGTCAGCATGTGGATTACGTTTTCAGTCCTTTTCTGATTCCATGGATTTTTCATAGAATATTTACAAACAGGGTTTTCCTCCCACCTCTGAAACGGAACATTGCTTTGTTGTCTTAATTATCACTTCATCTAAATGTGCTGTTGAATGAACAGATATAAATAAATAAAAGTGATTCATAAAACCTTGGCTTAGCATCTAACTTTGGCGCACTCTAACTAAGCTTTCTGATTTAAGGTTTCCTACTGTTCATTTGGTCTGATACAGACGTGTGAAATCTTATATATGAAGGCTGAGGATCAGAGTGATTGGAGGTATTGAAAATAAAAAAAAAGGCTGATCGTTAATTTGAAGTGGCTCTGAAGATACAGTAATGCTGATAATATTGCTGAAGACAAAGTCTTGGCAGTTCCCTGGATTCATGGCATGTACCGTACACTGCACCATCCAGTATTCCGAGCCTGATTACCAATGAGGCTGTGTTTAGGTACTAGGTACATGTACCTGGTGGGCTATACATGTATGAGTTACCACACTGAAAATTGTAGGTAGCACCTGTGTGTACACAGCTCCGTGGGGGTTATCGTCTGAAACTCTGAGCATTCTATCAACAGCCTTTCAAAAGGGAAATGTTGAGTTTCCAATGAACAACAGGAAAGGCTTGTTTAAAGGGTTTAAAACCTAAATGAGACTTGGCTTTAACACATTCAGGACTTTCATTTCTTCAAAATTTGTCATTAAGCTTGAAGGAAATTTGAAGGGAATTCTTTTTTTATTAGGCTTTTAAAGAAACTACAGTTTTGCAGGACCCAAATCTCAATTACTATTAACCAGTAAAAATGCACCATCCGTTTAGCATAATTCCTGTGCGAGCAGAAAACAATAATGAAATTTAAGTGTATGTCATTTAGGCATGCAGCATAATATCGACTTTGCCCAACGGGCTAATAAAAAATTGCTCTCTGCTACAGCACGAAGATGAGGCTGACGGTTGGACTGTATATTTCTCCACGTTTCATTTATGTCCCAATCATCTCCATTACAGCTCTCCATGAAGCCATAAATTTTTTCTCCTTTTTTTTTTTGTGGAGAGGGACCTGTTTGAGGCCACTGATTCACTGCATGCTAATTTGCCAAGCGCCACTCACATTGTCTTTCAACCACAAGGCTTGTCTTACATGTATGGGGGGGGGATTCGGCGTGTTCTACACATTGCTAATCACCCTAACACTGTCGTGACGAGACGTCGGAACCCAGGTGGTCTTGCATTACACGGCAACACAACATGCAGTTGCCAGAGAAAGCCAGCAGGAAAGATGCGTATATGTTACATGGACTTGCCTAATTTAGGCTTCTGAAGGGGAAATTTGAGGCTCGACAACCTAAGAATATTGCCTCGAATGCATGCATACTTGCTCCAAGTATTTTATTTTTGTTCGGAACAGTAACCATGCTGGTCTTGTGTCTGACGTCATACGGTGCCGGTACTTGCATCATCACGTCTTGGGCTTGAATGATACTAACCACAGGAATTTTATTTTACGGTAGCTTGCTCACACTTTCACAATTACATCCAGGCAGATTTGAAAGAAAGCATAAAGACGCCTATGTGTACATGCTAGGCTGAGTAAACCAAAACAGGTTCTCATCCAACTTTTTCAGAGGAGGCAGCTTGTTTAACGGGAGATTTTTCCAAGATGGCAGATGACTTTTTTCAAATCTTTCACGGATACTTCCATGTCTAAAGATACTTTCACCAGAAAAAAATAATGTTACAGCAGCAACACACTGCGGGGGACCAGTCATGGTAAAAAAAAAAAACCACACTGCATCACATTTAGCAAATACATGACATGTACGTGAAGTTCATATTGTGCTTAGCACAGAGTGTCTCATGCAGCTGGATAAAATGACCACAGGGCTAACTCACTGTGCAAAGTGAAGCCTGCAGGGGGCAAAACATGAAATTCTGTACGGCAGTTGTACAGCGTTTATTGGTATCGGCATTCTAAATGACGATCAACGTAGCTGATATGCTAATAACTTGACAGTGCAATCGGTAAATAACACAAATGCCAGTGCTGAGGCTTTTCACATGCAGTGCGAACGACAGGAAACACACTGTGTAGCGTGTCGTTTTCATATTTCTGCACTGCATTTAAAGTATTCATTCAGAATTCATCACGTCTTAATTCATGGTGTAAAACAAATATGCGCAGGTATTCAAAATGTCTATGCCCAGGAGGCATCAAAGCTTCTCCAGTTGGGGAATGAGTTGGCTCTCCACTAACTTAATATATGGTAGCTCTGTGGCTTAAACCACTTAGCAGGTTTAGCAGGTTTCTGATAAATGGAACCAGTTTATCAACTTTTTCTTCTAACAAGATTCTGTTTGAAGTGTGGTGATAAATGGGAATAAAAGTGCAATGGGCCGACCTTTAACCCCTCCTCGAAAACCCCAATGGTATTGTGGCAGCTGCTGAATTCGCCTCCTAATTAACTGTGTCTTCAGTTCCTCCAGTAGTCACTCAGGACACGACAAAGATTACCTTGTCACGCACAATATTTATTCCCTATGCTGTTGCCCCATGGCTGAATCCAACCTGGCCAGGCCATCAAATCAGGCGGCCTTTGTCGGATCAATCCCAGCCATTCACACAACACCATGAAATGCTACCGCAGGCGTAAATACCGCATACCCACTGTGTCTCGTGGGAGGAAAAGTGAATATCCGTTTGTAAATACTGCAAAAAATGTACACAATACGGGTACCGGTACTTAGTACCAAGCAACAAGGTAACGAAACATTCATGTGCTGTTCATTCACACTTGGGCATTCCTGGGGGCATGCGCACATGTACTGGTATGGTACTTTAAGTGGAGACTACCTTTTTTACTTATGAAATGCCGTTCCACGTAATACTAAATATATGGCTGAAATGCCAACCACTGAAATGCCAAACGACACCTCTCAGCAGTAATGTGCCAAACTGTATTCTGAATCTGAATTCCGAGAGAAACAAAGAGCCAAACCATTCTTTGCAAAGGAAGACTCATAGAAAATTTTGTTTTTTAAAGTACACACGACTCGCAGAGCTAAAACTCAAATGACTAGATACTAACTGCCCATCTTGAGACTGTTCAACAATGTCATCGTATCAAATAAAATACATGTGCACAAATGGCAAAATTGGTAATTCCACCATCTTAAGACAGTTTTCTTTAATAACCCTAACCCCTTGGTGTGCACACAACTGTATCTGCAACAGAAGGATCCAGATCACCGCGGTTAAAAGGAGCAAGCCCAATACTTCTGTCTGATAGTCTGATTCATGACAGGTGTAGACGTAACATGTACCGGTAACTACAGGTACGTGTACATGTATACATATGCCCACGCATGCAGATCCCTGTCAAAGCAAAATATGAGAACAGGCAATGTCAGTCGTCAGACTCAAAGAGAGAGGGATTTGAACTGTGGACACAGGTTTGACAAAGCAGGTGAAGACAAATGTTTATGGCTTACCCTTCCTTCGCTCTTCCAGATGATGAAGAAGGCATACTCATCCACTCGGAAGAAACAGTTCTGCTCGACGGTGCCCGAATCCTGCAGGAAAGAGAGACAAAGAAAAAATCAGAAAACTCAACATCGAGCTGAAATGTATTTCAAATGAAGACAAAAGAAAACCTGTCCAGCAACTACTTCCCTTTTACTTTGTCTCCAAAACCCACAGCAGTGTTCCACTGAAAATCTTTCCATTTTGGACAGAAAATGCTTGTAAACAAACCTTACTCACGAAGAAACCCAAGAAATCGTTGGCTACTCCCCCCAGACTAGCTGTATAAAATGTAAACAGCTGAGTAGGATGGCATCAAACTATTTCATCTGGCATTCTGAGCCTCCCCTTTTTTCTCTTACCTGACTTACAGCATTGAGGAGCTTTTAAAGATGCACTAGAACAGAGTTGAAAAATCGAAATAACTTTTTTTTACCATATAAATGATGTCTCAAAGTTCCCAGCAATGCTTCTTTTTTGCAGTTTTTCATGTTGGGGTATGACGTAAAATGACTAATAAAAACCGAGAATTTTGTGTCTACAGATCGCCGTTTTGAGAAAACTTTCGTTGTTCTTCTCTCAGAGGGCGCTACATAAAACAGGGTTCCTGGTCCCTGTCCAAAACCAACGTCAGCGTAATACAAATTAACCATATGCTACTGGGGAGCCCAGTTTCAGGCACATAGGCTTTATACACAAAACCAGGGAGCCCGAAACCGGACAAAAGAGCTGGGCCTTGTAACAAAAGACCGTAATCAGAACAAAAGACCAGCTGCTGGGAATTGCCATCATTTCTCAGCTTGCATTTATCGGAGGTAATCCGTCATTAGTTTGACACAGTATACCACTGTTTTCAGCATAGCGCGCCTGCGGATTAGCACCGCAGACAAAAGTGCTCCAGCCCCCATCGATGAGCAATGCAGTACCACTGCACGCTAATCCAGCTGCATTTGAAAAGACCCCCCGGAACTCACTGGGAACAAAGGACATTACGTAACACTTTAAAAATCTGGGCTCCCTTTCCAAGGCAGCAGGCCTGGCTGAAATACTCGGGCTTCAATGGAGGTTGCATGTCAGGTTAGAGTAGACACCAGACAGTCATTCGTGTAGGTGTAAACATCCATTCAATGAAATTATGAATATTTGAAGAATTTTGAAAATGGAAAATCTTGAAACTTGCCCGTATGTAGGCACTGCATTTTTAAAAGCACCTGACAGGAAGTGGTTAAGGAAACCCATGCAAAGTAGTGACGTACATGTATTTGGTGGTAGCAACCAGCTAGCAACGCAACCTTGCTAGTGCTCAGCTCATAGATCAGGGTGTGTACATGCGTGGCACAACATGCTCCGACATGTTCGAGTGAAAATACGGACAAGAATTTATGATTTTTCTAATTCTGAATACGTCTCACAATGCCAACAAACTGTGTGGTTGGTAGTTGTACCAGAACGTCTTTGAAGAATCGTGACATCAGCTTAATAGCTTTTCACTATGAATCTTCGTTGCAGGCCTCAGATAAATCAACTTCCTTCTCGTCAATGCCGTGTTCTTCCCAGACATCTTTGCTGTCAGACATTTTTTTGTTACTTTCGCGATGTACAGTACATATATGGTGTACACTCTTTGCAAACGTGTACTCCACACTACCCTAGCATTGCGCCGATTGAGTACCACCTCCTATGTCATCATTCATACGTGCATTATGCAGGATATGTAAATTTGTTGATGACGACACCTCCAGTTTTGAAAAAGGCTTGTTCAGCCTAAACAAAAGGGCCTAAAATTCTGTTCTCTTTGAGACTGAAGAAAACATCAGAAATGTTTTGTTAGCAAATATATGTGAAAAATTACAACAGTACATATCTACTATTTGTGGGACAAAATCACAATTTTCCAATCCGTTCTGATGCAGCTTTAATCACAAATTTGAAATATTCATGAAAGCAGACAGGTTTTTCAGCTTTCAATTTTACTTCAAGTTCACAAAGTGAAGAGGTACCAGTACCAGTAACTTTGTTTTCAATTTAATTTGGTTATTAAACCTGTCAACGTCTACTGTGAGAGCAAGGCAATAAGAGGAAGTCAGAGTATTTACATGGTGCACCACATGCACATTTACATGTATAACGAACAAAATTTCTCATTCAAAAACACCAATATATTTGATCATTATCCCTGCTCATTGGCTTTGTAAAATCTGAACGTTCCCAAAACCATCTAAGCTCCCTGGAGAGTATACAGCACAATGCTACATCAGGTACGTACAGCTACAAACTCTGCCCTCACAAGTATCCATTTGGTGCTGGGGAGAAAGAGGAACGTAGGATTAAAGTGACCAGCCCAAGATGGCCATGTGTAACCAGCTGCTGGATTCGAACCCCCCACATTATTATCGGGAGCTGCAAAAAAAGAGCCTTCACCAACATGCAAGATTTCCTTATAGCTCATTTCCTGTACTGTCTATTTAATCGCCACTGTACATGAACATGGATGCATGTACAGTGTACAGTACATGTACATGGATGCATGAAGAGTTGACAAAAATAGAAGTCCTAACCAGAATAAAATCGATTAATAATGCAATGACAGCAGCAAGACAAAAAAATGAATGTAATACGTTCCTGTATGCAATGCATTCAAACTGTTGAAATGGTTGTAAAACACTTTGGAAACAGCAGTAGGTTTGCTGTATGTGTAGTTAATTGGAAAAAACTACCCTCATTTTTCCCTGCTTCAAAGTATACCGTTTATGACAATAATACAAATAAAGGTACAAAAAGATGTAAACATTAAAACCTGGCAGTAACTTTTCCAATTTAAATTGGTTACTAACAAAAACAAACAAAAATAAACAGCAGTTTACAGGAACCCTGCATCTTTTTCGATCATTACTCTGAACTGCTTTGTTAAATTAGCTTAGCAAAATCAACTCATCAGTTCGCAGTTCCAAATGTTAAGTTCTTGATTTTGTCATGTTTACGCTACTCCTTTGTCATCGTCTTATTTTACTTATTTTTCAATTCTGAGCCCTGGTATCCCATACAGGACTGGGCTATGACTGCTAATTTATGAGAGGAATTCAAGGGAACCCTTCTCTGGCCCAGGGTATTTTCCTTCAGGGCCCATCACGGTGTGCTGTGCGGCACATGCGTCATCGGGGACATCAAGAATGCTGGCCTCTGACATGGGAGCTGGGCAGACGTGGCCTTTGGCATTTTCGCTTCATCATCCTCGTCCTTTTTCTCACTGTCTTCCATCTCCTCCTTTTTGCTTGGCATTGTCTGTCTGTTGCCTCGCACTGAGGAGTGTGGAGATGGTGCCCTTGGCTGGGCTGCGCGCTATTCTGGGATTGTTTTTGAACCCACTCTTCTGAGAGGAATACACAGCTGGGGTGAGGGAAGTGGTGAAATTAGAAACTGAGGGGGTGGGGTGTGGGGAGTGGGAGGAGATAGAACCTGGAGATGTTTACCTGACATTCACAATCATGGAATTCAGATTCAACAAAATTGTTTTGAGATTTTGTAAGATAAATGAGAATTCAAAGTTCTTGGAATTTTTTACCAAAGACCTTCCTACTGCAATTTCATAGCTGTTCTTTCATTACCTAGCTATTGTCTCATATCAAAGGACTTACATGTACATGTACCGGGTACATGTTTTACATGTCCCTGATGGACACTCATGACTGAAGCAACAGATGAATTCCCGATAGTTTTTTCCGAGTGTTTTGGGGGCTTTGTTTAGGGAGAGGGGTGGTTATGTTTTGGTTATTCGGTTTTGATACAGAAGTGTTGTGTTTTTCCAGGTTTGCCTTTCTTTTTTCAACACCAACACATCACAAAAGTTTTGGAAAGATAGCAAAAATATATCTTAAGACAGAGGCTGGATGTACTCTACCAAAAAGAAGTGAAAACAAAAATGTGGAGCTAACGTACGTCTGTACAAGGATCAGTTCAGCAAGGCACAGATCTCGACAAAAACAACCACTGTGCTCAGTTTCCCTCCCAAATGCGAGCCAGTGCTGCTGATAAATCTTAATTCGATTAACTCTGTCATTTCATCCAAGCTATTGCCAATAACCTTGCGTAGGAAAGTAAACGCACCTGTGTTGGAAAAGACTAATCTAATTACCCCTGCTATTCCAGAATGTCAGAAATATTGGTTTCATTGCTGTCCATACTCATACATATATAAAAGACAAGCAGTAGCCATTGTTCGATACTGAGCATCACATCAGTGCATGGCACTGACATTTAGAAAGTAAAATCACTACACTTAAAAAAGCATAGGGGTCCCTTCTTTTTTTTTTTGCGTCCCTGTCACATCTGATATATGATTTTGTAAGTTCAGAACACATTCTCTGGTTTCCAAGAGTGATGAATTAATGCAAATTACCTGCCAAAGNTGTCACACTTTTGGACCCTAATTTCTGGAATTATCCATGTAGAGGCAACTTATCACTACAAAATGGGCTAGAAGTTGGATTTTATTTCCAAAAGGAGATTTCAATACTGGAATAAGTCCAAGAGAATGATAAATATACATGTAGGTGTAGAATTGGACAGTAAATTGCATCGCTGTCTTTTGGGAGCTTTGGAAATTGGCACTGAAGGCTTCAAAACTAAAGCTCAAAAGAACACCAGGCTTTCACCACTGGAAGAGAACATAAGAAACTTTCTCCACATAATACGTACGTACATGCATGCACACATATTAGAAATCACATCATCACCGTCTCATCAAATGGAAAACTTCCTGTCAGGTAATAAAGCTACATGTATAATGTTCAGTTTTCCATATCCGAGGGTGGAGTTCAATGTACAGTATAGCATGTGGGGAGGAAATTAACGTCTTTAGGTTTTAGTGAAATCACGCATCGCAATCACCGACGCATTATGAGGGAATTTTGGAAGCGCACGGATCCAAACAGTAGCACCGCTGCGGCTGGGCAGAGCAAATCAATATCCGTCTTGCTGCACAACTAACGAACCTTGCTGCAGGTGGCAATCATCGCTTGCGTTCGGGAAAAAAAAGCTTGGCATTTTGCAA